GCCAGCGCCGGCGCCGGCGCCGTGTGGGGGGGGGGGGGTTCGGGAGGGGGGAGGGTTTGGGGGGAAGGGGAGTCCCCCCGGTTGTGATCGACGGCGCCGAGTGTTGGGGGGGGGGGACCCCCCGTTTCGAAACGCGCCGCCACATGTTCCCAAGGCAAGCGCCCGTGAAACGCGTTGCGTTCTCTCCTACATTAGTATGTCTTGGCGCCGTCCTTCAATGTGTGCATGAGAAGCATTCTTGGCATTTCAACCCCGTGCGGACATCCGTAAAGTTTCGGTTAATACCGTGTTGTGCAGTCGTATGGAATACATTGTTCTTCCCCTTCGCCATCCCCTTGTGCTAGTCGGGCGCTTCGATGGGTAGCCGTGTTTGTCATTCAACTACGTCCCCCGCGAACTACCGCCGCCTCCTGCTTTTCTGGACACGCCTGCGTGGTGAAATGTCGAGTGAAGGTGTGGTAATGCCAGAGGTCTGGATGCTTCCTCACCGTTGGGGCAGAACTGGGGAGGGGCCTCTGGGTTCATCCTGGCCGTCTCGGAGGCTTCTGGGGATCAGCTTCGAAGCGATCTTGCCCCATCGTCGACGTCAAGGAGACCCTGTTGGAGCCACATTGGACGGGGGGATCGACGGAGTGCTGGTTTTGCGCTGGGCCGGCGGGTTGGGGCGCTACCCGCCTCTCCCGAGGGCCACTGCGCTAGCAGCGCTGCTAATAGTACCATGTCCACCGCTGCAGCGTCGCCTGCCTCATGTGCCTGCCCGCAGCGGGCGCCACCGACACCTATTGGGAACATTTTGGAAGGGCCAACCGTTTTAACATTTGGCACGCGAAGCACACCCGTGGCAGGCACAGAGGGCGGAGGATCGAAGACGCCTACGGCGAATCATCGCCGCCCCCTGCCTTTCTGGAAGCGCCTATGTGGCCGAACGTTGAGGCCAGACCTGCCAAGCTATCGGACCATGTGTTCCCCGAATCGGTTTGGAAAGCCTTCGGGGAACACGTGGGCATCTTGAAGGTCACCTTGGCCGCCTGGAGGCCATTTTGACCCTTTCGGGCCTTCTTGGAGGACGTCTTGGAGGGCTCTTGGGCCGTCTTGGAGGCCATCTTGAGCGTCTTGGAGGCCTCTTGGGCCGTCATGGGGGCCTCTTGGGGCCGTCTTGGGCCTCTTGGGCGATGTTTGGGGGCACTGGGGCCGTCTCGGGCCGTCGGAAGGCAGAACAAAAAGCAACACCTCATGGAACAAATAATGATATTGGCCTTTTCGGGCCTTCCTGGAGGCCCTCTTGGAGGCCTCTTGGACCGTCTTGGGCCATCTTAGTGCCATCTTCGGCCGTCTTGGTGGGCCCCTGGCCCGTCCGACGCCGTCGGAAGCAGCCGTTTGGGGGGGCCCTCTCGGAATGCTCCAGGGCCGTCTTGGAGGCCATTCTGGGCGTCTTACAAGCCTCCTGGGCCGTCTTGGGGGCCTCTTGGGGGTGTCTTGGGGGCCTCTTGGGCCGTTCTGGGGCCATCTTGGAGGCCTCTTGGAGGATCTTTGGGGGCTTTTGGGCCGTATCGGGCCGTCGGAAGGCCGAAACGAAGCAAATGCCAGAATCCTTCGAAAACCTATGGGAAATCAGTGCTTTTGGCCTCTTCTGGCCTTTCTGGAGGCCTTCTTGGAGGCCTCTTGGGCCGTCTTGGGCCAGCTCCGAGACAAATTCGGCCATCTTGGTGGGCTCCTGGCCCGTCTGATGCCGTCGGAAGCCGTTTGGGGGGCCTTTCTGGGCCGACTTGGGGCCCTCTTGGGGTGTTCCAGGGCCGTCTTAGAGGCAATCTTGGACGTCTTGGGGGCCTCTTGGGTCCTCTTTGTGCCCTCCTGGGGCCGTCTTGGGGGCCTCTTGGGCAGTCCTGAGGCCATCTTGGATGCCTTTTGGGCGCTGTGGGGGCGATCTTGGGGGCCCCTTGGGCCGTCTTGCGTCGTCGGAAAGCCGAGAATAAGCAAATGCCAAAATCCTTCAAAAACGCATGGGAAATCACTGTTTTTGGCCTCTTCGGGCCCTCCTGGAGGACCTCTTGGAGGCCTCTTGGGCCGTCTTGGAGGCCTTTGGGGGGCCTCTTGGGCCGTCTTGGAGTCTCTTGGGCCGTCCGGAAGGCCGTCTTGAACCATCTTAGGCGGTCTTGGAGGCCATCTTGGACCATCTTGGAGGCCATCTTGGGCCAACGTGGCCATCTTGGAGGCCATCTTGGGCCATCTTGAGCGAAAAAATTGGGAGTTGACCGCCTTCCGGGTGGCCGGCGGGACGGGCCGAAGCCTCAGGGGGAGTTCTTTGGGAAAAAGAACCACAACCAAAACCGAGAGGATCCTTGTGATGAATCGACAGGGGGCGGCGAATCTAAGACGCCTACGGCGAATCACCGCCGCCCCCTGCCTTTTTGGAAGCGCCTATGTGGCCGAACGTTGAGGCCAGACCTGCCAAGCCATCGGACCATGTGTTCCCCGAATCGGTTTGGAAAGCTTTCGGGGAACACGTGGGCATCTTGAAGGTCATCTTGGCCGTCTTGGAGGCCTCTTGGGCGATCTTTCGGCGATCTCTGGGGGCTCTTGGGCCGCGTCGGAAGGCCGAAAAGAAGTCAAAATCCGTCAAAAACCTAAGGGAAATCAATGTTTTTGGCCTCTTCTGGCCTTTCTGGAGGCCCTCTTGGGGTCCTCTTGTGCCCTTTTGGGCCAGCTTCGAGCCAACTTCGGTCATCTTGGTGGGTTCCTGGCACGTCTGACGCCGTCGGGAGCCGTTTGGGGGGCCTTTCTGGGCCAACGGGGGGCCCTCTTGGGGCGCTTCGGGGCCGTCTTGGAGGCCATCTTGGGCGTCTTAGAGGCCATCTTGGGCGTGTTGGAGGCCTCTTGGGCCGTCTTGGGGCCCTCTTGGGGCCATCTTGGAGGCCACTTGGGCCGTCATGGGGCCCTCTTGGGGGCCTCTTGGGCGTTCTTGGGGGCCTCTTGGGCCGTCTGGAGCCGTCGGAATGCCGAGAAGTCCAAAAGCCTTCAAAAACCCATGGAAAATCAATGATTTGGGCCTCTTCGGGCCCTCCTGG